TTGGCCTAATAAGAATATTAGCTCTACATGCTAATGCTGATGATGAATTATTTCCACTGTTTGAGTCACATGTTCCACTGACAGTTGCTGTACAGTGTAGGATTAGTTTTCTGTTGTCAAACAAACTTCTGCAGTGCTAATTCTAACTCTGCATTGATTGGGCATCATGGAACAGTCACAATTTTTAAATTGGACATCAGCATTCTCTTTGTACTTTGAATCTGCCAGTGTGATACTACAGAATTTCACTTTAACAGAAACTGTCACACATAAACACACACACATCTCTCACACTTCCTTCCTCTTGTAGTTACTTGGTCATTTTTACAGTCTCCTTTCGTTTATTATGCTGCTTGTTATTTCCGTAAATGTCTTACTGCTGAGGAGTGTTTGCAAACTGCTCGACATTTGTGTTGTTTTTTTTTTTTTTCAAAACACTCATATTTTACTAAAACTCAATTTTTGGATTTGTTATCAAGTTACTTCAAAGTGAAAGTAATCCGTTTGTCATCACTGTCACTTTTTCTTCTCAAATGCTATACTTTGTCTAATCCTGCATGTTTTAGGTTTGTTCTGATCTCTATAAAAGTTCTTTTTTTCTTAATTTTATGTTTGTTTGTTTTTTTATTGCAGGGCGAGTGGCTTCTGAACCGGTGGAGGACACGGACCCTAGCAGCTTCATTACAGATATGGTATGACATTTTTATGGTTCCAAAACAAACAGTTAATTTCTAAGTAAAGGGCTTCGTCTTTCAAGAAGTGTTTGCTAGAAGGTTACAGATTGATAACATCGGGTGAATACCCACTGACACATCAGTAGCAACTAATGTGATGCTTATTTTTACATTGTTATGACACACTACATGAGATGTAAACATTGTCGGCTTTCATATTGTGATCAACCTCCACAGATTATGTAGGTTAGACATGATTTTCATACATGATATGAAAGTAGCACTAGATGGGAGGAGCAGCCATGCTCTAAGTCTCGGAGGTTTGTTCTAGCACGTTCTCCGCTCATTTATCTACACATCTGAAAGTTTAATTTTCTTCTCTTTGCTACAAAGTGCACACCTCCTCGCCTCAAATGTGTTTCAGCATGTAGAAAAAGAAACAAAGCTGTATTGTTTTCATCTAAGGTCTTGATTCAGGTCCAGTTTACACAAGGGATGTGTGCCACCACTAATGGTTACTTTAATGTTTATTTTCAAAAAAGGATATCTTGTAACAAGCTAGTCTAACAGCAACTCAGAAGGCATTTAGAAAACAGTTCATATATTCAATTAAATTCATCTTTATGTTTATATAGCTCTTTTACAATGTAGATTGTGTCAAATCCACTTAACATAGAAGTTCTAGTAAATTGAAACTGTGTCAGTCCAGTTTTCAGAGTTCAGTTTAGTTCAGTTCAGTTTGGTTTAAATTTCACTGCCAAAAGTCCAAACGCTGAAGAGCAAATCCATCAATGCACAGCTCTACAGGACCCGAACCATGCAGACAGTGGCAACAGTAGCTATGCTTTACTAAAAAGATAGGTATTTATAGTAGTTTTGAACTGACAGAGTGTGTCTGAAACTCAGACATTATCAGAAAGGCTATTCCAGAATTTAAAGCCATGAATGAGAAGGCTCGACCTCCTTTAGTAGACTTTGCTATTTTAAATACTATCAGAAGTTTTGATATTTTAAAGAGCAGGTTGGATTGTAGCAAGACAGAAGGTTGGTTAGATAAACAGGAGCTAGATTATTTAAAGCTTTATAGGTAAAAATCAATATAAACAATACGGAACTTAACAGGCAGCCAGTGTAACCAAGCATTCACACGGGGCTTCCGCTTCAACGCTTGACTGAGGGCTTGTCTGAAGTTGGGGCTGACGTGATCGTCATAGCAGTGTCAGCCAATGAAACAAGTCTGTAATCGGCTACTGTCTGAGCTGGGGTATTTGCATAAAGTGATCTGATTCGCTGATGCTTTCGTTAGTGCTTAAAGTTGAGAATTTCCTAACTTCTGCAGTAAGCAATCCCACTGAAGCTGCGTAGACGGATCCACAATGCAGTTCGGCAACGCCTAACGTCATCCATTCAAAGTGAATGGGAAGCGTTGACACTGACACACCGTGTGAATGGGGCATTAGGAGGGTGTAACTGGGGTGATATGGTCCTATTTTCTCTATATTTAATCTAATTGAAATAACCTACTCTATTATGAAGCAGATATAGATCATAAGTGCTGTAAGTGTTTGACCTACTTTAAGCAAAGCGTTTAAACTTCAGCGTTCACTTCACCAATGTTAGCCAATATGGACATATTTATTCAAATGAACAGTATTTATAGGCACTGTAGACCTATATTAACACTATTCCTCACCTAAATGTTTGTCAGTAAGAAAGCATGTCAAGCTGTTTTTGTTGGACAGTCCACCCAAAAATGAAAGTTGCATCATTCTCACCCTTTACTTGATCAAAACCTATTTCATTTTTGTCCTCTGTTGAACACAAAAGAAGATATTTTGAAAAATGCAGGTGACTTCGTTGACTTCATTTAAGTTTCAGCAACCAGCATTTTTCAAATTGTCTTATTTTGTGTTCACCTGAAGAAACTCATAAAGGTTTTAAACCACATGAGGGTGAATAAATGATAGATGGTCATTTTAGTTTTTGGGTGAACTTATTCCTGTTTTCTATGTACGAAAAGAAACCGTACACTTGATTAGGATATTGATATAGTAAGTTTGATATAATGTGGATATTGATCTAGATTGTTTTAGTCTCAATGTTTACTCTTTAAATTGCTATAAATTTTCACAGTACTATTAACAGGCCTATAGTCAAGATTTATTGTTATGAGTCAGTTCAACGTTGCCTGGAAAAACAAGATACTCATCCCCCTTCACCTTGATCATCTTTTGAGTGGACATTTTTTCTAAACCTGTCATGATTGACAGAAAAAATCTGAGATTAAATTAAATGAGGCTTTTCCAATCCAGGTATTTATAGCCTGTGAATAAAGGATTCCATTTTAAATGTGTATTTAGCATGAGGGTCTTTCCAAAGTTGACTAAAAGCTGTATGGTTTGTTCAACTAGTCTGACGTAAAATGTGTTTTCGTCTCAAGTGTACAACTCTAAATTACGGTCTGTGCTATGAATTGATGTACTCTATAGCATATTTTCTATTCATTCTTAAACATTCTTTCATCACTTTATCAGCCGAGTGTTTGGAGGAAATGTTTTGTGACTCAACATGCTTTAATATCACAAAATGAGGAGGAGTTTAAGGTCATATATGCATTCTCAATTCTCATTGATATTTAAATATACATATTGATATCAAAACACCCACATAAATATCTAAATAATCCATAATTTGCAATAGTCATGGAAATTATGATCGATTTCAGTTTATCTGTTTTAATCCAAAAATTTTTCAGCTACAGGGATAGTTGATGATGTCTTTATTTCTGAAATATACACTACGGGTCAAAAGTTTGTTAAATTGGTAAATACTTAATTATTAAATATTTATTTATTACTTATTGTATGTAGTTTCAAATGAAATTCTTACTCCAGTCATTATTGCTTTTATTCCTTTTACAATTAATAATAATAATAATAATAATAATAATACTTAATATTAGAGTGATTACTGAAGGATCATGTGACTCTGAAGACTGGAGTAATGAAGCTAAAAATTCATCTTTAAAATCACTGGAATAAATTAAATGATAAACTACTTTTAAACAGTTATTTTATAGGGCAATAACATCTCACAATTTCACAATTTGTACTGTGTTTTTGATTAAATAAATGCAGTCTTGATGAACAGAAGCTTATTTTAAAACATTTAAAAATCCTACTGACTCCAAACTTTTGACCGTTAGTGTATATGTGGAGTATATGCTGCCTTTAGCTTTAGTATGAATGAAACCAATATTACATTATATGTGTGCCAACACTTTAATTAAAAAAAAATCTTACACAACACAACTTGCTTTGTCTTTTCATAGGAAATGAATGAATCATCATCATTGATCCTGTTATCATGGCAAATATCAGAAAATGTGGTTTTATATATATATATATATATATATATATATATATATATATATATATATATATATATATATATATATATATATATATATATTTGTCACCTTGGAATTATATGGTTCTATCTGCGTTCTGAATGATTTTGAGATATTGAGCTTTAAAGTTTTTGCATTCCATATAGCAAACAGTATGTGTGTAACATTTGTATAAAAATTCTTAAAATGTAAACAACTTATAAAAAAAAAAATACCATAATGTAAATAAGTTGTCATTTAATAAGAACATAACAATAAGTCAATTTTGACAAAAATGTCAGATAGAACCTTTTAATTCTAAGGTGACGAGATATCTATCCATCCATCCACCAAACATAGTCCATTTTAATGGCCATCTCCACGCTTAATGCAGATGTAAACAGTCTAAATGGGTTTTAATTGTTGATATTCAGCTATATTCAGTAATGCTGTCAAATCTGTACAAACAGGCACACAAAAAACATCTATTCTACACATGCCAGACTGACATGTGATCATTGTGGGAAATAGTTAATATTGTGCGAAACCCTAACTAAGGAATTGATTTCTAAACTTTTATGTTGTACTAAAACACATATTACTGTATCAAAATGGTTGCTGCCATGTCATCTACATCTTTTCATTATTTTTCCCTGCTTGCTCATAAGTCATGTGAACATATTTATTTAATCAACAGTTCTCATGCATTACACAAAATATGACAAAATAATAAGAAAGGTTCTTGCCAAAATCCCAACACAAGTCATCACAAGTGAGCCAATTGAAATCATGTTAACATCAGGTGGAAACAGTACTGCATCTCAGTTTACCAACTGTTATTGAGTCAGTGAAAGCACATGTTAATAACATGTGAAAACAGAGCCTTAGATGTGTATGTGTGTGTGTGTGTGTGGTGTGATGTTTGACCTTTGGGTGTTTATGCTGATGTTTTGTCCTCTATTCTGGTCTTTATTTCAGTCTCTAAGGTCAAACTATCCTGTTCAGGTCACAGATTCACAAGGTATGAGCTCTTTATTGTTTATTTACGTCATTGCTGCTTGTATTGGTAGTGACTGAGTCATTTATTTCCTGTCTGTTTATTGAATTCTGCTGATCTCAGGTCAGATTTTCAGAATAGTGACCTTTAGGTCAGCCTCCACACTTTCTATATGATCATGTTCGATTAGAGATGAAAGCACAGTGTTGTAAACGATCAACAGGTTTATTCATTGAAATGTGGCGTAATTCTCCACAGACCCGGTGACCCTTCAGCTCAGCTCTGTTCCTCCTGGTTTTTTGTCGTCTGCGGTGGGCAGGATACGACAGGTGGGTGTTCTGATATTTTAAATAACAAACATCGCCTATTTGCCTCTTGCTGTTTCTATTTGTTTCTGACATTCTGTTCCTTCTTAAAGTCACGTACAAATGTCTGACAGCATCCTTATTTATAGATGCAAACCACACAATTCTTGGGGAGTCGTATGATGTGGGCAGTGAAAGATATGTGGTTGTATGTGTAAATACCAGGATGAATTTTATTCCACTTGTTAGGGGCTGTAAGGTTATTCCCCAATACGTGCTTGACATGTTCTCTGTGTAGTGTTCATTAGCATCGTGGGTTCATTTGTTTATTTATGCAAAACAGAATAACGGAACTTTCTCAACTTCAATAATCCCTAAGCTTTTCCATCTTTTCTTTATCACCCAGCCTGTGGAAAATGACGATAGTGAATGTATTACATCAGCGTCTGTTTCATCAGGTATGTGTCACTGGTTGAAAAACTACCATTACTACACTGTCTACATAACTGTCACCACTACACACTGAACGTAGTGGAGTAATTATGGCAGATGACTTGAGTATTTTCATGTCATGCCAAATAAAACAATAGTATCAAACAAGTTTAAGTAAATTTAGGAGTCACAATATATTGCATTTTTAAATAATAAGTAATTGTAACAGTATTTATGAATTATTGTTGTAAATATTAGCTTTAAATGAATTTTTTTTTTCTTTTTTAAAAGCCTTTATTATTTGGCATTGTCAAGTCTCAGTGCAGAAGTTTTTCGACTTCCAAACATGACGGACTTATACTACACTATAGGAATACTAAACTAAAACATGCAGCAGATTTACGTGCAAAAGAAAGAATTGTATTAGATATTTTATTAATTATACAGTGCATTCTATCAATAGGAAAGTCTTGTAAGTTCAGAGAGGTAATCAAAAGTGTTTAAAAGTTTAACCAATGTGGCAAAACATGTTAAAACATGAAGGGAAAGCTCTTCAACATGCCTCCACCAATGTGTTGAAACCAGCAGCAGCCTCCTGTCCTGTCTCTTAAAGTCACCACAGGAGTGACTGAATCTGCAGTTCATTGACTGAACACTAGAATGCATCCAAAATGCTCCACTTTACAGCAGAAAATGTTTTTTACAGCCTGGTATAATAGATTTTTTGGGTTTACGTAAGCGATATTGCATGTCATGACAACTGTAAGGTGGAGAATTATCTCTCAACTCATCTGTGTAAATAATTTTAAGCCTTAAAATTTGGCATAATTAAGGGCGTGGCCACTTCAGTGACAGGTGTCTGCCTCTGGTTGTCATGTAGTCTCGGCTAATACCAGCCAGTAAACTCAGTTTTACGTGGCTTTATACAATCTATAGCTTATTTATTAATATTTATTACAGTTATCAATGAATATGGCAAGCTAATTGTACTTGTTAGTCAATTGTAATCGTAATTCTGTATTTTTTTTTTCCTGGTGTTTGAATTTATAATATAATTACATTTTTTAATTTTAAATAATTGATTTATTATTTATAGTTTTATTTAACTTTACTACACTCTTTACAACATTAGCTGTAGGTATAATACATCATCTGAAATAAGATGTTATGCCTGCATTTCATAAACTATACAGATGGATGGATGGATAGATAGATAAAGAAAGAAGGAAATGTATAAATTTGGAAATAATTACTTAAGTTTTTATTCATGTAGTAAAATGTCATAAGGAAAATCCTTAACGGGTCGTAATCCATTAAACCAGTGTTTAAATAGACCAGACAGAAAACACATTATTCATAAAGTATACAAGCAAGCATGTGTGTTCAGAATATAAGCAAGTATCGCGTAAGTGTTGTGTTTCACCCAGAATAATAAGTATTACATTATAATAACAATATAACAAGTCAAGCATCTCTAGCTCCATCCTCCCAATTCAGTATTGCATGTATAGTTACCTACAAAATGTAAAGCTCCTTGTATGTGATGTTATACACCTTTTGAAAAATAATTTTATTCACTGTTATATTGTCTGCTTTTACTTTCCTGCTCTCTAGACTTCAGTAAAGAACTCAAGCCCTGTAAGGAGTGTTTGTTTTCTGCTCCTCCACCCAAAATCAGCGACCTGATGAATGACGAAGACCTTCTGTACAGCCTGCGGCTCAAGCTGGACCCGACTCACTGCACGGTCAAAAACTGGAAGAACTTTGCGAGCCGCTGGGGAATGAGCTACGATGAGCTGATGCTTCTAGAGCAGCGCAAACACGGTGCCACTTACAACAGTCCTACTCAAGAGTTTCTCCTGCGCTACAACCAGAAACCTGTCACAGAGCTCACCGAACTCTGCCAACTTTACCAGCGCATCGACGTGCTGCGGTTGCTCCAGCGCTGGATGGAGAACGACTGGCCATCACGATGGCAGAAGGCCCATTAGCTGCCACTTGACTAAAACTGGACCTCAATGGATGAAATTCAGAACTGCAGGGATGGACCGCAGGTCAGAAACACACACACACTACTGAACAGCAGTGGTGGAAAGACAGTGTTTACAAAGTTGTACACTGGACTTAGTTCTTTTTTGATAGCTCTTGGCTGATTAAAGCTTTCCAAATGTCACATGTTTGTGGCAGGCAGTAGATATGCGACGGAAGGGTGATCGTCAAATATACGAAGTGGCGCCCCAGCACTTCAAGAGGAAACTGAAATGCCACTCAGGTGTGACTGCACCATTAGATCATGTCTGGAAATTCTCTGTCGTTCCGGACATACCGCGTTTAATTTATTTACTGCTGATGGTCTTATGAAGAGTCCTTCTATTAGTAACATTCTTGATGAGTATGAGTCACTGTGCTTATTATCAAAATGAGTTTTAAGATGTTTAGAAGTCAGACTGGCTGAATCTTTATTTCAGTTGGGGTTCAGCTTCCTGTATTTTCTAATTGCAACAAATGCTGCAGTTCATGATATTCATAATATCCCATGAAAATATGAGATTAGAGCTTGTTGGTAATTTTGGTTTATTTAATGGTTAGGGCCAAATTGTGTAAAAACTATATTAAAAGTCATCAAAAATACAACATAAAAGAAAAGGCTTATTTTGGTCAAACTAACAATAAATAATATACAGCCATGCTTAAAAGTATTTAAAACCTGTTTACAGTTTTCTGTTGTTTTACTATATATAGATTTGAGGTGTGTGTGTGTATACAAACAAACACATCTATATATATATATATATATATAGAGAGAGAGAGAGAGAGAGACATATATTAGTGCTCAGCGTATATAAGTAACCCCTTACAAGCCGCTCTTTAAATTCGTATTTTTAATCAGAAGCTATACAATATTATATACATTAGATTAGTCAGTACTTTTTATAGCGGTCCAAAAATTAATACACCCAAATTTATATGTTATAGAAAATATGAAATTCAAATTTTTTTTTTTGCAGTATTTTGATTGATTTTAAATGTATTATTTTTCAATTTCTAAATATGTTTGGTGACTTAAATATTATTTTAATAAATATATCTGTTTAATAAATCTGTTTACATAATATACAAAAATCTTATGTATATTCACTGAGAATAAATCAAAAAAATATTAATTTTTATATGCTGAGCACTACTCTGTAGATGATTCCTTGGATTTACTTTTTTTTTTTTTTTAAGTTGTAAATTTATTTGGGCTGAATTTAAACAAACTAATTAAGTTGAAAATTACTGAATGTAATTTGCTTGTTCAAATTCAACAAACAAATAGTTTGCAGAAATATTTTTTTCAGTGTACATGGTCTGCTAAAAGACAGGAAATATTACTTTACACTTTGTTCATGAATCATATAAGACTATTACTGAAATGAATAAAGGCCAGATTAAATATAAACGATCATGCTTACAAAAGTAAATAAATAGATTGAACGATGTCCTCGAATATTTGTGGAAATCTGTGCATTTCCCGTGTACTTGAAAACTCCATGTGGGCCTTGTAATCAGGCGTGACATTGAGGTTCCAGAAAAAAAGCCTATTATTGGACAAAGCTGCCCGTTTCATCATTCCATCTTTAATGTAGTTTTATTTCATTAATCTCACAACTCTCTCTAAACATTAATAAACGTGTATCTGACTTAATATAACATTTAATACATGACTAGAATAAGAAAATCACTGTATAACAACTGAAAACTGACTTTCTAAAGGGGTTCACAAACAATATATGTCATGTTTACATGGCAGTGATGTATTTCAAATAAGAAATGTAATGTTCTTTTCTAATTGTTTTATTCTATAAGTTTAGTGAACAGATGGCATGTTCTCAAAACAAACCCTTAAAAACTACTAATCCCTGGCCAGTAGTTGTCAATTGTACTCCGTCAGTATCTTGAGCAGCACTAGCACAGCCCTGTTGTTAACCATTGATGTTTGTCAAGTTCTCACGCACATTCTGTATGATGATACAATAACACTCATTCTGTAGATTCAAATGTTTTAAAACTTGCATTTAAGTGCCATTTAAAGCTTTGTCGTTTATATTAAAATTCCCATTGCACTGCTCACAAGGCACTTGGATTTGGCATGTTTGGATTAAAAAGCACTTAAATTGCCATTCAAATCATTTTTGGTAGCCTTTAAGAAAGATTTAGGATGTCTTTGAGAAAATGGCAGTGTAACTGCAGCGAACTATGGATCTCAAAGTTAATTAAACAATCTGATCTTTTTCAAATTTACTTATCAAACATTTTTTATGGTTAAATACTGTTGGTGATAGTTTTAACATTTGTGCTCAAATGTCAATAACAATGAGGTAGTAGTGTAAGTTATTTTATAAAAAGAAGACTATTTTTTGTCTTTAGGAAGTGTTTGGTTTTCTGCCTTGTATCCTACCTAGCCTTGGACCTATTGTCTAACATTTAAAGCCATTTCTGTTTGTTTAAAAATAAAACCTTTCTATAAACAGTGTCTGAATATTGTTATAAATATTTTGATGGTGTCAATCTACACTGACAATCTTTTTGCCCCTCTAAGTTTTAGGAACAACAAATAGTAACTTCTAGTTAATCATTTGGTATCAGAAGTGGCTCATATGAAAGACAAAGGCCTCTAGATTATGCTTATTTTACCAAAATAAAATATGATCATGGCTTGATTTTTAATTATTTAATTAGCACAATAAGTTCTGACTTTGCTTAGGCGAAAGTCTTGTCATTTAACAGAAATAATGTACAGTATAGAATATAAAGTCATGGTGCAGTGGAAAAAAGAATGAATATTGTACATGACTCCCATGAGTTTGGAGGTCTGCATCAATACAACTCTGCAATGACTCAAATAACTTATTTATAAAGTCATCTGGAATGGCAAAGAAAGCGTTCTTGCAGGACTCCCAGTTAGGATTCTTTGGATTCACCCTCAATGCCTCCTCCATCTAATAAAGTTCATGTCTGGTGACTGGGCTGGCCAATCTTGGAGCACCTTGATCTTCTTTTCTTTCAGGAGGCTGAAGTAAGAGAAGGAGTGCTATCCTGTTGAAAAATTTGCCCTCTCTTTTGGTTTGTAATTTGTGTGAGAATCTTGGGTCCATGCTGGTTCCAGTAGGTCTTCTGCTGTATTTTTGATGATTGGGATACAGTTAAAAAAACACATAATTCATCAAAAAAAATCTACCTTCTGCCACTTTTCCAAATGAACTAGAAGTCAAGTTATTATTTGTTGCTCTTACAACTGAGATCAACAACAAGACTTTATAGTGTGTGTTTGTATTCAAAATGCAATCAGCGTTACATACAACATTGTAAACAAATCGTGATTGAAGGCAAATTAGGCATGTGTTGTTCATATAAGCTTTATTGAGGTTTTTTGTGTGTAAAACTGGCAGAAATCTGCACATATATGTGATACACAGAGAGAACACAGTCTCAAGTTGATTTGTTTGGTTTTTTTCCCCAGTTTGCAATACTGATCAAAATACATATAAAACTGGAATGGAAATAAGTGTAAACAAAAGACAAAATAATATATATTTAACCGCTTAAAAATGCAGAGAAGTATAGAGTCAGCAGATTTTCTTATATATTTATGTCAGTATTTTAAGATACATTCATTGCACATTTAACTGTTTAATTGTGTAGAACTGAATACAAAAATAATTACATCTGTCAAATTCTAGAATGCTTTTCAATCAAAACTTTACCCATTTTTATACATGTAATTTTTACATATGACTTCACTTTATTGAGGTGATGTGCATTACCAATACTCTTGGATTAAATTTTACTCTGTCTGCAGACAAAGCATGTTGTTCAAGCTTAGGCTAAGTTTGGCATCTTTGTCATTGCTAGTAGTATCAACTACTGGATGATCCTTATTAGCATCAGGGTTGGTGACTTTAAATGTTCCTCTATTCACTTTTGGAGGGCTGCCTGGTTCTGAAGATATGCCGAAATCTTGGCTAATGGTACGTGCATTAGACAATCTCAACCTCTCCAGGACATCTACACTGCCTCTCTGTCCATTGACCCCAGCAGATGGAGATGAAGCTTTCAGATTTGTCTTGACTGACGAGACTGAGACAACTGCATCAGTTATTGTTTTAGCAGGGTCAATAGTGACGTCAGCTGCTCCAATGCGTTCTTGCAAGATGCTGTCAATGTTGCTTGCAGGTAAGCTGTGAGTCTTGAACAAGGGGATATTTTTGGGGAGTTTTATTTCTGTGTTGCCATCTACTTCTGGTGCTTTAATCTTTATATTCCCATCCTTTGATTCAACAGATCTTCGCCAGTTGAAAGGCCATTTCTTCTTGCTTTTGGAGCCCTCGACTTCAGCATTAATGCTTGGGACATCTACATCAACCCCAGTATTGGGAAGATTCACATCCACACCAGGAGGAGATAGGTTCAGGTCTGGCCTGCTTACATCAGCAGCAATGTCATCATCAGGAGATTTAACTTTGGGGCCAGAAAAGTTCAATTTCCTCATTGTTGGGAATTTTAGTTTTCCTTTGGGAACCTTGACGTCAGCATCTAGTGTGGGAACATCTACATCAACCCCAGCATTGGGCAGGCTCAAGTCAGCATCAGGAGTACCAATTTTTGGAGCAGAGAGGTTAAGATCAGGAGCTTCTGCATTTATGTCAATACCTGAAGTCTGCACTTTTGGAACCGAAAGGTCAGCTTTTGGTTTCTTAATTTTAAGCTGTTTTAGCTTTACAGACGGCGACTCCAAGTCAGGGGACTTGATATCTACATTGGGAACACTGACCTCAGCTTTTGGTAAAGTTGCATTTACATCAGCTTTTGGAAGATTTAGGTCAACAGCAGGTGTTTTTAATTCTCCAAGTTTGGGAGCGGAAAGATTTAGATCTGTATTAGCATCCAGCTCGGGCCCTTTCATCTTTTGCGCAGACAGATTCAATTTTGGCAGTTTGAAATGTGGCATCTTAGGTTTTGCAGAAGGGGCATTGATATCAACATCTGGGACTTTAAGGTTAGCATCAGGTCCTTGAAACTCTGCTTTGGGTAAATTTAGGTCTACATTTGGTTTGGATATATTGAGATTTGGTGACTCTAGACTTCCCCCAATGTTTGCAGTTGGAGCTTTTAAATCAGCGTCTGGCAAACCAACGTTTAAAGAAGGAGCAGAAATGTCCCCTTTAATTTTAGGTGTGGAAAGACTAAGATCAGGTGATTTAACACCTGCATTAAGTCCTTTCAGTTCTGCTTTGGGGATGTTCAAATCTACATCAGGTACTTCTACTTTTTCTGTTTTAACACGAGGCCCAGAAAGACCAAATTTCGGCATCTTATAGTGCGGTATCTTGACTTTCCCAGAGGGGGCATCAATATCTACTTCAGGAACATTTAAGTCAATGCCTGGGGTTTCGAGGTCTACATTTGGACTTTTGATATTGGCATCTGGCAGGTTCACTTTGGGTGCTGAAAGATTGAGATTTGGAGCTTTCAGGTCTATGTCTGGTCCTTGGAGGTCTGCCTGTGTATTGAGGTCTATATCTGGACCTTTCATTTTTGCCCCTTTTAAATTTACTTTAGGTAGATTAATGAAGGGTTTCTTTATCTTTGCAGATGGGGCTTCAATGTCAATTTCCGGTGCCTGCACATC